TACAAAATATATGCATATTTGTAACCAAATAATTGTAGAATTATATGCACTTACATCAATGACATCTTTGGTCAAATAAAGTCAAACAATGATTCATTATACAATAAATGCAATGATTTTGTATATATGTACTTCTATCAGAGATGCATTTATGAAAAGGCAAATATAGTAATTTATATTTTATTTTTCTTATTTTGTGATATTTTAACTATTATTGACATTCTCCATTACCAACTGCTGGCAAATATGTTAAAATAAAAAATATGACTAAATAATACCTGGTAATAGACCATTTTCCGTACACTGCGAGAATCACGCGTTATGCGGGAAATCGAACGTAAAAGCAGGACAAACAAAGGTCATGGCGTCGTAGTGGCGTCAAACATCGCGTGGGATTCGACAAACGCGAATGTATTTTGGGGACATTTCCATGCTTAATAATGTGCTGTCCACATTTGATGATATGCAATTTTGATTAAGTAAGGGTATTCGGAAGCAATATTCCTCTGTCGAAATAAGGAAATTCAAGTTCAAAATCAAATCGTTCGATTTTTGCGGCAGACGTTCAACGCGCGTCTTTCATGCATCTCGCGAGATCTCGCAATTGTACAGGAAAATCACCTATTAAATATATATATTTTTAAATAATACATGTGTGCCAAAATGAAAATCATAATTAAAAAAATCCTAATTTATTCAGATTGAATATATCAATAACCTTGAAAAAGTTGCATAACTCAGATATTGAGTGTTTAAGTATGGTAATGTTGGGACAACTTATGAATTGTATTCTCTTCTCTGAAACTACAAGGCATTGTACAGTTTTTGTTTGAAACACATTGTCCAGTTTTTCCCTGAAGCCGCAAAGCATTGCCCGTTCTTGTTTGAAACCAGCTTTTGTACTGTACATCAATGACTTGTCAGATATAAACTAGAAGTTGAATTAATATTGGTATTTTGGTTATATCATTTACTTTACATATATTCAGCATATTCATGGATTGACCAGTGAAGTGTTTAACTCAGTTCACGTAGATTTAATTCAGTGGATTTCATTTATCTGTGAAAAAAGCTAAACTCAATCCAGTGAAGGGCATAGTTCAATTTTTGTAGAAATGAACACATGAAATTTTCTCCCATTTTTTTTTTTGATCAAAACTTGTAGCTAATAAGAAATTATGTTCATCTGATCCAAAATTATAGAAATAATAGAAAATTACATAAAAAAAAATAAAAAATGAGGTTCAAGGAGGTAAACATGCTTAATTTGTTTCATTCAGATCCTGTGAATGTTGGTAAAGCTATGTTTCAAGAAATAATGGGAGCATTCCCTGGTGTTGATGAAGCGATGAGTTATGCGGAAGTGATGAGGTAGGTGTGAAATAAGAAATAACACTGCTCAGTGCATTCCAAAGTGTTTCACAAGCAGTTGGAATTGACTAGAACATACCATTATGCAACAGGGTTTTGACAGGATGTTTGATTCTCAATTTCTGCTTACTCAACACAGTGGCTAAAGTCGAGCTAGGGTTGAATTAGTTATATAACTCCAGTCTACTGTAGAAAATGGGAAAGAGTATGCAACTTCCGTATAGTGTATCACTGTATACTCGAATATGTCTTGTTTCAGAATAAAATCACACAATACACTCACCAAAACAGCAGTCTGCTTGATTGTTAGACTACTATTTATCCAATTATGCGATTTTGTTGGTGTTGTTTTGCCAGTTAATGCAGAAAAATTGAATTTTTTGAGTGTTATCGAGCAACTCAGTGTGAAAAACAGCTTAGGTGTTGAGTTAATTGAGGTTTAATTGTAATGTGTGGGTGTAATATATGAATTATAAATTCTTTCCTTTTTTCAGGTTAGTTAAGAGTATGAATTTCTCTGTTGTGGTGTTTGATACAGCACCCACTGGCCATACACTCAGGCTCCTTTCATTCCCGGCAATCGTTGAAAAAGGTTTAGGCAAAATTCTCCGGCTCAAATCTCAACTAAATCCATTCATAAATCAGGTATGTTTGTGAAATATATTTTATTTAGTGCTCAGAGGAGAATTATACCAAGATTGAAATGCACGAGATGACACTTAAATGATCAAACTAAAAGTTCTGCATCAGAAATATGGAGTGTGTATGATTATGTGTCATAGTGTCATAGATTTTGGTTGTTATGGAAACTTAACAGAGTGGTAAACCAATTGTATGCCTTACAGGCTGTTATTTGGTTGAGTGCTATGCTGTTACAAAAAGAATGCTGTTTGGTTTAATCTTGAAAATGTTGGTTAACCCTTCAAGTGTCAAAGTCAACCATGCAAATACACTTCCATATATATGTATGATATTTAAGACATGCCTGGAGGAACACTTCAACCTTTGTACTTGTATATCATATGCACTCATGCAGTCAGATTGTCATCCAATCAAAATTACACTACACTACACAGTAATTTTTAAATGTCTGAAACCAGATTTTGCACATGTCTCATTTTTGAACTTATGAAGGTCTGAAATTTTAAACCACAAGCATTGTTTCATGCATGGCTTGTTTTTCTTATTTTTAAACAATTATGAATAAAATTATCAGAGCAATTAGTACATAGAAATGCATATAAATTTTTTCAGGAAAAATTATGCCACTCAAAATGTTAATGTGAGAGTCGTACAAATGTATGATCTTCAGATGTATATGAGATAGCCATTGTGATTACTCCTATCCATATACTTTTATGTCTGTTTGTATCAGTAGCAAAAGTCAACTCTGGCATAGATAAACACAATGCAATGTGTGGTGTATAATTTGTCTAGTTGTGCTGATACATTTGTAGCACAGTAGTAGTACATTTACACACATGTGCTCCACAAATCAGTGCTCACAAATCTGAACAACTTATTTTGTTGTTTTGTACATCTTGCCTTGGTAATGGACTTCCAGATGGATGCTGCCATGGAAACTTCAAGGAAACATAGTTCAGACCTAGGAACAATTTCAATTCAAATTTTTAGCAAAATACACTGAGGATGGGTTTACATCAAATTTGCTGAGCCTTTTAACCATTTTTTGTTGTTTCTGTGTTTCAGATGAGCAGTCTCCTTGGCATGGGTGACATAAGTGCTGACCAAATGACAGGTAGAATAGAAGAAGCTTTACCAGTGATAAGACAAGTCAATGAACAGTTCAGGAATCCTGTAAGCATGCTGGGAAATTTCTAGATATACTGTTCTGATCTGATCCAGTTAGGAATGTAGTCTGTCAAAGCCTAACATGATGGGTACTTGCTGACTGGCTATTACTTACATAGTCACATGTACATGTGTTTACCGTATGGTCTATTAGACTCAGAAAAAAAAATTAGAAGTCACTCGTCAATTTGTTCCCAAAAATCTATGTACGTGATGACCATAAACTTTTTCTTCTCGGTTGTAGCAAACCTTGTACATATTTATTTTTCACAAATCATTGCTCAGATCCTGTCTACATGACAGTGTGAAATTTGCTTATTTGCATAAATATGTATTGCTAGTAAAAATGATGGAACTCAAAGCGTTACTACAAAGGTCCCTCTCTATGTTTGTATCTCTGACGATATATTGACTCTGTGTTTCATTTCAATTTCAGGACCAAACAACTTTTGTATGTGTGTGCATATCAGAATTTTTATCCTTATACGAAACAGAAAGACTAGTACAAGAACTAACAAAGTGTAAAATTGATACGCATAATATTGTTGTAAATCAGTTACTGTATCTTGATCGAAAATGTCCCACAGCGTGCAAGATGTGTTCGGCTCGGTATAAACTTCAAGCAAAGTATTTAGATCAGGTACGTACTATTTATACTATAATAATAGTTTATTATCTGTTTTCTGTGAGACCCCTCGTTTCACTTGAAATGGAATGAAAAAACAAGACGAACAACGGTCATAGTAGCGTCAAAACAGTATTTTGGGTATACACATTTGATGATGGTCAATTTGAATGAAGTAAAGGTATCGCAATGACATATTCTCCTCTCAAAGATCAGCATTTCTACATTGTACTATGAAAGCAAGAGATTTCATTTCTAAATCTAATCATTTGAATTTTGGGGCAGACATTCAACATTCGTGAGATCTCGTAATGAATGAAAAATCACATATTGCTGTCAGTTTCCTTCTTCATAAAGGGTGATTGTGATTGGTCCACATCTTTTTGATATGGGTCACATGCAGCATATATTGTACATTATTTACCACACATTAAAACAATGTACTGCATGGTCACCACCATCCTTTAAATGTTATGTGAAAGTACTGAATCAACAAAATTGCAACTATATTGAGAATACTGTGAGGATGGAATGATAAAATTAGGAAGACATGACTCCTATATATGAAAACTAGCTGTATTGCCAGAACACTGCAGAAATAAGTTTTTGGTGAATCATTTTTCTGTATGTTGGCAGCCACACTCCATCGGCCATATACCGTCAGTCTTATGTACTGTTGCTTATACACTGGCAGTCATACCTGTGGCTATATGTCATCGGCCATACACTGCCAAGAAAAATGGCAGCTAGTCACTGTTGACCATATACTGCTTGCTATAAACCATCGGCCTCACACCAACTGTCGTACATCGTTGGCCATAAACTGTCTACTATATACAGCCATACACAGACAGTTATACCATCAACCATACTTGGCATTTATAAACTGGCACCCATACGTCGCCATATACTATTTGCCATACACAATCAGCTGTACACAGACGGTCATACATTATTGGCCACTAGCAGCTCCAAAGCATTGGCCTTATACCAGTGCCTGTACAACAGCGGCTACACACTGTCGGGAACAGCCGTATATTGGTGACCATACATAACTGACCCTATCCTCTACCTACACTCTGGTGTTAATCAGATTACAAAACTCAATATATTGATTATTATAGATGCTTGCACATACTGTACTCACCTGGAAATATTTGAACATGTCTCCTACAGTTTCACTATGTTTACTTTTTCTTTTCTCCAACAGATTGAAGATTTATATGAAGATTTCAATGTAACAAAGTTACCATTACTTGACCATGAAGTTAGAGGGGTTGACATGATAGAGAAGTTCTCTAAAAATCTTGTTACACCGTATGATCCAACAAAATCATAGAATTCACATTTTCTTCTCAATAAAAATATGCTATCTAATTTATTAGAGTCAGAGTGAACCCATGTACATTGACACAGTTACCCTGTGTCACCAGTCACTATAGTTTCACACACTTTCTTTCATTAAGGTAGAAGCCTACGTATTTTGAGAAACTTGTCCTAATATATTT